ACAATTCTTTCATTAGTTACGATTACTTTTTTGAAGTATTGACGGCAGGGAAATGTTGATCCGACGAACAAAAAAAAAGTGGATACATATTTTTCATCCATCTGACTCCCTGTATTGTCGGCTGGAGCTCCGAGAAAGGACAATAAACGGAGTTGCGACGAAGGACGAAGTTCCTTCATTTCGAGGGTTATGCAATAGGAGCCACGGAAAAGTCAAAACTTCCGTATGAAACCTTCGACTCGCTAAATAGCGGATTCATTCCCGAAAACGATATTCGTTATATTTCTGTCTTCAGTAATGATTACCTTTTAGACTGCTGACGTTAAAAGCCTGGAAAATGTAAAGCAGGGAGATATTGATCTGGCAGACAAAAAAAAGGGAATATGATGAATGAACCAAATAAACCAAAGAAAGCCAAGTCACATTTCGAGGGAGAATAACGTCGGCTTAGTTTTAAGCTTAACTAGCTGCACATTCTTTCCTGCCAAAGATTTAAAATCGGAGGAAAAACAATTTCTTCCAGACTCCTTTTTCTCAGTTTCGTTTTGACGTGACTCAGTTCCTTACTGTTAAACTTGGTCCAAACGACAACGTCGAAATGACTGTCTGCAGAACAAGACATCGCATTTGCTCCTCCGATTTGGCAAAGTCGTGAGACTTGTATGTCTTCAAATATTCGGCGATTGTTTGCCCCATTCCACTTCACAATCATGGTTACTCCGGTTGATTTTAGATTACTCTATTCCAACTCCGCCGTCCGCTCTTTTGTTCTACTGGGACGCTACGGCCTTGCGAAGCGAAAAAGAAGTGCTTGTACGTCGCGTCGTATCATTCTTCGGCGTTGCTTTCTTTGTGCTTTGTTTGCCCTCGACCGAGCTACTGTGCTCATCTAAGTTCGCAGCCGGAGAATAAGCTCGAAAGCCATCAGACAACAAAAAACAATCTTAGAAGTGCGATCAACCCTGATTGCTCCCTGCTCGAGAAGTAAGTTCATTTACAACGATAAGCATCGCATTTTTACTTGTGCATCGAAGATCGAGAGGGTTGTAAATTCAGTTCTTAGAGTTGGGATCGCAGTGGGGTGTTTTTTCCTTAGGCAGCTGCCCGTTGCGAGAGTAAATTATCCTCCCCTCCGCCACACAATGGATCGAGTCAATTAGAGAGGTCGGACATGAAATTTTTGACTAAAATTGCAAATTTTGGTGTTTATTCCGTCACATTCAACATTTCAAGGGGTGCTAAGAGAAGAAAATTTCACGAGGAAACCAATAGAGCCACTTTTAGAGCCTCAAAATTGTGTATAAACGGAGTTAGAAGCGTTTAAAGTTTCCAAATTGTGTCCGACCTCTCCTATTGACTCGATCCACTGTGCGCCACTGGGTCAATGAATAGAGGAGGGATGGAAAAGTACGATGGGTATAGGAATATTTTTCTGCGGACCAATGAGTAAAATTACAAAACTTCTCTTAAAATTCAACGTTGGAATTTTTCATGCTAAAAAATGACATGCTTAGTTAGGGATAAAGACATCACATGGTAAAGAAAAAGAAGAGGAAAGCAAGAAAGGAGAAGGCAGAGGAGGAAGAAAAAACACACGGGAATCTCTCAAAAATTGAATAAATAAAAGGAGACGCGAGAAATTCTGGCGCCCCACGCCGCGCCGCGCCGGTGCGAAATTTTTTTACCGATTGCGAGGTTGAGAAAAATATGTACCCCCAAAGAAATAAATAAATAAAAAAGAAATTTGGCCACTACGCGTACCAATTCCCAACGGGCGCTCCTCGCCTACACACGACCGCTTTGCGGCAGTAAAATCTGGGCAATAATTTGGAAATTTAAAGACAGCAGACTCATCTTGAGGTTATTACCTGCCGATAGCCGAAAAATCATGGACGTCAGTCTGAGTAGCTCACTAAATGTAGAGCTTGGACCGAAAATTGAAAAAAATGATAGGCAGCGAGTGTATCGACACAATGGTGGATTCACGACCACGTAACTTGTTTTGCAGCTTCCTATGTCAGCAGAAATGCAGCATATACATTTACTGTGCCTTGCTTTCATTCGAGTTATAGAGAGAGAAAAGAAGATAAAAAAAAAATTGGATACACAAGAAGTAGATACAGGTTTCCAGGGTATTTAAACAAATTTTGAAGTAAAATATTTCACAAATACAGTAAGAAATGCTGCGGCAAAATTTATCGATCGAAAATCGACATCCACCAATGCAATTTTCTCTACTTTACTTTTGCAAACTAATACCTTTACTTTAGAAATATTTTACTTTAAAATTTTATCGAATTCTCTTGAGATATACATATCTACTTCTTAGGGCCCCGATACTCTGAAAATAATTTGAATAACACACATAAGCCCCCAGAGATATAAACCCTTAATTCACCGCATAGAGCATTCAAGTGAGGATATACTCAAGATTGTACTCAAAATTGAGTCCCCCGAGGTACTCAAGATTGAGTCGTTGCGCGAACAGTTCGAAACTGTCCCGCACTTTCGTCGTTTTTCGACGACTTTCATAAATCATCCTCCTTTTATTGCCCCGAATTGATTAACCTTCGATACTTCTTGCGAAACAAAGTTTCGTGAAACGAATTGACGTTGCGAAAAACCACATTTCTGACGCGTCTGAGCAAAGCGCGTTTCTCCACTCATTTATTAAACCCTCATTACCGATATTTTACGAGCCACGGCTGTCCGTCCAATATAATAGAGCAAAGTTTATACAATTCAGTCGTTTATTCACGACCAGAACGAGCTTTTTCTTCTGTGCCGAAGACTCCGATGAAAGATACGAATCGCAATTACGGGAGAGGCCGCAAAAGCACACCCCTTTCGTCCTCCGACCGGTTGCCAAGTTTACCAAAGATGCTCCCTTCACAATATGTGTACAACGCTGTACGCTATTAGACGCCAATCATCACACACAAAATGTCCTCTCATTCAAGGAAATCATAGAATACAACATATTTATACAAGTTAAAAAATAAAGTTTACCAAAAAAATTGATACGCTATTGATTGAGTTAAGATGAGAAAACTACTGGGTGCTGTAAAGCTACAATTGGAAGCAAAAACTAAAATGCCTTCGCCCTTCCCCTAAATTTTCAAAAAATTGAAAATTGAAAAATGCTGCCGGTTTTACGCAACTTTACAATTCACGAAAATTACGATCGAACACGTAGAACTTCAAACTGTGCAACTATATCCATCCGCTTCAAGAAAGTAGATGCGATGGATTGATAGATTTTTCACTATCCACGTCAAATATATTCACAGACTTTATGAGGGCAGCGGAGTGCAAACGTCCCTTGAGTGACGACGTATTGTTCTTTATAGATGTAATGAGAAAAATTCGAGAAAGCATCAACCGCCACTGTGTATCCCTTTGACACAACTGCAAAATCTACACATTTTTGGACAAAGAGTCGACTAAAAGATAGGAGATCGACTGAGGTTTGGGTGAATAGAAGTTACAAACGGGAAAAAAATGTTGAGGGTTACCTCCTTAAATTGTGATGCTACCCCAATTTGTTGGATGATATGGGAATTTCTATTTAATTGTGGTAGTACCGCAACATTTGGATTAGTATAACCTTCTTCATTGGGGTACTTACCCTCAATCGATCGAAAATGCCCGTATCATCCAACAACCCCCCCCCCTTCCCTCTTTTTTTCCATACAGTGTCTGGACCCGACATTCCATCCCCCAAAAGACATTTTCCGGGATTTTTTGGGGTACTCATTTCCGGGGCGAAACCCCACCTCCCAAATCAATTACCTAAAAAACGATGGATAACAGTCCAAGATGAAACTTAAAAGGCGGTCGACTCTGCAGCTGTTCTATAAGTTCGCGGACACGTTTGCACTACCTAGCAAGCTTGGAGAGAGCATTATTATTAACGAGGTCTTTCCGAAGAGCAAGCAAAGGGATAGACAAACGGACAGCTGACAGGTCTTTATCATCTCAAAGGGTCCCGGCCCCCAGCCCCATCCCTTCCCCTTTGCCTCGGTGCCCCGTCCGATAAACTCAAGGTCGAACTTCGCGCACGGGGGCACACGTGAGATCGTTTCGGTGAGTTCCGGGTCAATATTGAAGACTCGTCACCCGTGGAAACCGACGGCGAAACAAAATTCGCCAATTCCTCGCTCCTCCTATGCAAACCGCTTTTTCGCCCGCCCTCACTCATCAGTGCAACGATTTCAGCAAGTTGGAGATTCCGCTGATCATTGACTCAGATCCTCACCGAAATTGAGCGACCAGATCTAAAAGTTTCGAAAATTCAATGAGAACAAAGACGGATCTTAAAGAAGGCGTCCCCCCCCCCCCGGTTGGCCGGAAAAAATGAGGAAGAAATAGGGAAGAGGGAAGGAAGGAACGGAAGAAGAAGGAAGGGGTCTCATATTTTGTAATTATTTCGGAAAAGATTGACTCTGACTGCATATTAGATGCTTTGAAATTTTGAAAATTCTCTAAGAGAAGCGTCACAATACTGCAACGTTTCTGGATTGCGAGCTTTTGCGTGGGCTTAAAGAAGACTTTCTCGGAGTTGAATAGATTGACCTCCAAATTTCTTTTCACTCCATGAAAAAAACCGCGGATAATCAAAATCGCGAATAATTGAAGCGCGGATAATCTAGATTCTACTGTGCGCATGCACTTGTTACGGAGGGAGCTTTCGGGTGAGTAACGCAGGGAGGTAAAGAAGAGTTCATAAGCTCAGGGAAATGTGACAGTCCGAATACAGATTGAATTGCGTTGCTTTCTGGGAGAGGCAATTGTGAATGGGCGTATATAGGATTTGCAATTTAGACTAATCTGATTATTTTCGGCACTCGTGAGATTCAAAGATCATTAAAAGATTATGAGACGCGTGCAGAAGGCCCCCTATACCGAAACCGAAATAATTTATTTTATTTTGAACATTTCTCGGGAAGAGAAAAAAACCAATCGAACTTGCATGGAGCCTTCACAGACTTGATACTAACCTTCGATATGAGCTCGTCGTGATTCGCAAGATGAGCCCTGCAGTGAATGCAGGAATAAGTTCTATGGCAGTTGGGCAGGTATGCCTGAAACGTTTTCACCATATTGCGTGCAATACTGCCATACAGATGCCGGCGGCTCTCCGTAGGCCTGGAAAAAAATGAAAGAATAAAGCATTAATTAAAATGTTTCTAACAGCGCATCATGATATACTACAAGAGATAAATGCTGCAATTCATCATCGAAGGTAGTTAACATGTGCTAGGAACATCGCAATACTAGCACTCTGTCAATCGTGCGTCAATCGTGTGAGAGGACCGGAAAAACTGGTTAAAAAAGTCGTGCAAAAAATGATGAGGGTTTTATCAGGAATCAGCTGCACTTTTGTAAAAAGTAGAACAGTCAACATTCTTTCATTCGATTAAAATTTGACCTGGAAAAATGGCATTTAGACGTATTTAACCTGAATCGGCGTAACTACACGAAACGTTGCATATCAAGTTGTATTTTGTTGATAGAAAACTACGAAATATCCGAATTTGAAAACGAGTATACATAATCTGGGGTACAATCTTGGGAAAGTTTCAAAGCGTTGTGTTGTTGGCTTTCGGTAAAAAAATAAAATAAAATAAAATAAGACAGGAAATTAAGCAACGTGAAACCGAAGGCCAAAACGTGAGATCACGAATCTCCGAATCTCCTTTATTTTTTCCATTGGAAAACTAGTCAAGTCAATCTAATTTTTTAGGAAGTGCTTTGATTTTTCTTCTCCGTTCACAAAATATTCTGCAAACATTTGAAGCTATAAAGTTGACTCGTTATACCCTTCGAAAAAATAAAATAGAGGCAGAGATTGGGAGACACCGCAAAGGAGATACGTGATTTCGCACTTTAGGCATCGAAATGTAGTTAGGCGGATTCTAGGCACACCATCCATTTCTTCTTATAAACTTTTTACTGACGGAGGATATCGCGCTGATTCGACAAAGAGCCCGAGCTATAATCCGTCGCTTGGCTGACATAAGGGCGTATAACTACACATTGAGATGAGTCCGGAAAAGCATTGATTTGTATGGAAGACAGGGTTCATTACAGAGTGTAGTTACGCCCTTATGCCAGGTAGGCGACGAATTATGCCGCGTAAAATCCTATAAATAGCAGCTCTTTTGTCGTTCTAAAACTTAGTTTTCGTACTTCTTGACGAATTGGTTGCACCGAGAGAATTGCGTCTCCGCGGTTCGAGACCTCCGTTTGCGGCTGGAAATAATCGTGGAGGAAGTTCAGCCGCGTCGTGACTCTCATTTCTCACGATGGCATTGCAATATCGTGCAGGGCCGGGTCCCTAAGATAAATCTTGCAGAAAATCTTTAATCTCCTTCATTGTTCGCGGGGCTGCTGTTCATCAACTCGACAACGCGGTTTACTGCCCTCTATTTTTTCCCTTACTTTTTCATCTTTTTTTTTACCATAATTTTAAATTTAATCTTCCGACCACTAAGCATCTCCGGTTATTGACGGCGGTTGGTCTTTTTCCACCCCGCTTTCCTCTCGCCACCCTCCTTTAATTATGCTCGAAACTTCTGACTTTTTACCCCCGCTTTTTTTAATTACTCCTAAACTAATGACCCCCTCCATGTTTCCTTCGCACTGAGATTAACGGGCGTGTTGTTTTCACTTTGCCAATTTTGCTCTGTATCGCACTGCGTCTGAATCTTATCATAGAGTATGACACAAAAACATAAGAGGAACGCGTAACGCATAACGCCTGTGCAGTACGCTGCCGTGCTAAGGAAGAACGCCGTATAAACATCCGAAAGTTGCCAACTTTTCCTTGATAAAACATGTATTTTTGACAATATTTATGCACATTTATCTTTAAAATTTTCAGATGTTTTAAATTAAATTGCGTACAAAACAGTCTGAAAATTCTGGGGGAAAATATTCACAATTTTCCCGGGAAATTCGGTTTTTATGGAAGGAAACTTGGCAACGTCTGAAGGCTCATACGGTGTTCTTTCTGAGCATGTCAGTGCGCTACCCCCTTCACTCCGCAACCCATGCTAAAATTTATTACCCCTTCCCTTTATTTTGTTTGTTTTCTATCCCTGTTAAGCATTTTTATCCTTTTGCACACATGATGAAAACACCCCATAATCTCAATTCGAATGAAAATCTGTGCTAAACAGGCGCAAAGCGATTCGGAGGGTTGGCTTGCGAGGCGTTCTGAGGGCCTAGCCCCCTAGAGGGATTCTATAAAATTCAATATTAAATGCACTGGGAAACATTTCCTGTGGTCAATATAAAGTTTTTTCGGATTTTTCGGATAAAAAGTTCGGCTACTGTGGCTTGAGTGAAAGTACATTCTTTATAAAAATATAAAGTAAATCAATAAAACAAGGGGAATTTTCAGAAATACAGATATGACGATAAATTTTCTGTGCAGTATTTGCAGGAGAAAATCAAACAATTCGTTTTTTCTGAGCTCAGAGCGTCCGACTCCGTAAAAGTTTGTGTAAACAACTTCCTTCTTCGTATTTTGTTCGTAACCTCGGTTTTCTGGTTCGTAAAACCCGAGTTTTTTTCCATTTGAGCATGGGACACTGGAAAAAAAAACACATTGGATCTAGAGTCCACACTCTTAAAAACATCGACAAGAAAAAATACTCTTGATTCAATCGGATTTTTGCTTAAATCAAGAACCAAGCCTCTTAATTTGAGCGGATTTCCTTTTGATTTAAGCGAAAATCTGATTGAATTAAGAGTATTTTTTCTTGTCAATGTTTTCAAGAGTCTGGACTCTAGATCCAATGTGGTTTTTTTTTTCCAGTGGACGTTGGGCCGAAGTTCAAAATGCGGAGGCGCGGTTGCGTGGAATCGGGCGACTATCGCAAATCTTTGGTGGCACGAAAAGAGAAAGTATCCTTTTCGCTCCGTAACGGAGGCTACACATATAAAACGGAGGCGCCCTCCAATCGTAAGAAAACGCATCGGGTTCCTGCCGTGCGAACAGCGTGATCCGCGCTGTGATTAAAGTTGCATAACACACCGGCGCACGCCCGCTGCAGCCGCAACGCCGCGCCACGGGAGAAACTCGGTCGTGAGAATTGGAAAAAAAAAATTCTCGAATAATTTTGTTTCTCGGTTGACCTCAATTCCATAATGAGACCTTTTCGCGAAACTACACAGAGAGAAAACTCTACTCAAAATTTTGCGGAAACTGATTATAGAGATTTGATTTGAGATTTTCAGCTTTATGCTGAATTTTAAACGCACGTCGGCTCAAAAACTCCAACATACTACAAAATTTTGGTTGATAAGGGAAGTAAAACACAAAATAACCCAAGCCTCCGGTTGACTCTGGAGTTTTCCGGTCTGTCCACTGTATTCTGCGCTAAATTCACTGCAAACTGTACCGAAATCAACACAAAATTTGGGTTGATTTGTGTTTCACTTCCTTTGTTAACCAGAAGTACCACGAGAGAAAAAATATTTTTATCAGAGTAAAATGCCCGGGCTACACGGACGTTGGAAAAACAGCAAAAGCTCGAAACTTTGTAGTTTCAGTAGGAGGCTCTCGGGCAAGGAATGATGGGAATGAGTTTGAATTTGCTGATATCACCGTAAATTTTGCTTACAGTACGTGACTGGGCGCATTTACTCAATTTTGAATCCGATTTTGTGGGTTACATTCGAAAAAAGCTCTTCAATTCAGGCCTCTACAATGACAGGACGCGTAATAAGTGCAGAAAGTGACGACCGTCAAAGGCTGGCAACATGGCAACAACCCCTCCCACCTATACTTGCATTGCCAGATTTATGAATTTGTGCAAGCTGATGCAAGATTCTTTCAAGTTCAAGGGGAGGCTTGAGGGACAGGGGACACCCTGAAGCTAATAACATCGTTCATCGGTTCGACAAAAGGTCATGGGGCGATATCTTTATTTCTCGTGAGGATAAGACGGTGGAATACGGATTCCCCGGTATGCGTGTTGCCTATGCTGCAATTTTGAAGGCGGATCTTAAGTGGACGATATCTGGCAATTGGTTCACGTACTGTGTATCGATTCTGGCAAAGTCTATCGGGAGAGATGATTGTATGTTTTTAAATAGATGACTGTTCGCACTGTCAAGTAAGCGTTTTACCAATGCGCTGAAATTAAATGTGACAATCAAGTCGAAGGTATCAGCCAACAAAATAACACATTGTTGTTTGGCTCGGTCAAACCATCCAGCAGGCGCGGGGCTGTTATCGAATAGCTTGCTGAGAGTGCTCCCCGGTAAATTTGATATTTATTTTTACTATAAGCCACATTTTCTCCTCTTTTTTTTTTTTTTCATATTTATTCCTTTCTCTCTCATTTTTGTGGTGGCGCTTGTTGCAGTTGCTCCTCATGCGCAACAATTGGACTACATTTTACAATTAGGAACTACGATTTCTGGCTCATTTTGAATTACATAAGTACCTTTAGTTTTCCTCTGCATATGGGCATTTTTATGAATATACCGGAAATTGTAGTTCCTAAGGGCAGAATATAGTCCAATTGGACTTCATTTTGCAATTAGAAACTGCAATTCGCGGCTCATCCGTAAAAACACATATATGTGCACAGGAAGACAAATGATTCATACGTTGTCCCTAAACTGAGCCAGAATTTTAGTCTGAGTTTAGTTTATCCTTGACTAGTCGCCAGCTGTTTTTACATCGTATGTGCCTTCATGAGAACCAGTGTCGATACCAGAAACGTTGGTAATAAAATGCAACAAGAAATATATGTCGAATGGTGGCCCAGAACCCCCTTCCATCCGTAGTTGCAGCCACATTTTCTTTTTTTTAATCCAAAGAGTGAAGACCCTGTAGGAAGACACTATAGGAGCCACTACACTTAAGGAAAAACTCCAAGCCGTACTTACGGGTTACATATATACATACCGTCCGAGTTCCGGGCGCAGAAGCCGAAAGTTTCGGGCGTTGCACCATGAGCAGTTAAAGCTACGGCTCCAGCACCCGGAACTTTAGGTCTCTGAGCCCGGAACGGACGGTATGTCTATATAGCCCGTAACTTTTCTTTTCAGTGTGTTTACTCTGCTATATCCGAGGGACGCACTGGGGGGGGGAAAAAAAACACATTGTATCTAGAGTCCAGACTCTTGAAAACATTGACAAGAAAAAGGACTCTTGATTCAGTCAGATTTAAGCTTAAATCAAAAGGAAATCCGCTCAAATTATGAGGCTTGGTTCTTGATTTAAGCTTAAATCTGATTGAACCAAGAGTAATTTGTCTTGTCGATGTTTTTAAGAGTCTGGACTCTAGATCCAATGTGTTTTTTTCCAGTGCGATGAGCCTTAGCTCTTTTCTCCTCGTACCGACGGTAACATATGCTGAACCCACCTCGGAAAACGTTAGCATAGCGAAAGAAATCATGAAAATAAAGTTAGGGCTGAGCGCCAACTGCGCCTTGACCACGAACAGTCGTTGACACTCGGGCGCCGAGCGTAGTTCACGAAACGAAGAGTAAATAACGCGACGTCGCCGAGTAAAACCCGAAAGGAGCCGACGATTCCATCCCGAGGGACGCGCGGCCCTTCCCGCACGCAGCGGCAATCCGGCGAAAGGTAACAACGGATTATGAGAGTCTGAGTCACTGCCAAATCGCCGTTTCCCGGGCCAAACTAAACGAGCCTAAAAATAATCGCCCATTAATTGAATGTTTATCACGTTCCGAGGAGTCGTATTTAATTTTCAATTTCGCCCGACGGGGATCGAGATGCATTTTGCAGCTCCTGCTCACCGGAAATAACAGTAATATCGACGGTGAAACTGCAAAAATGCGTGCCACGGTTGCGGCGTTTCGAAATCTCGGCTACTATTTTATTCTTTAAAAGGGGGCAGAGCCAACATCATGGCTTGAAATGGAGATGTTGCATGTGTGAGGAATTTGCGATTTGACTATTGATTCTTATATGTAAAAGTTCGCGAGAAACACGATGGTGCCACTGGTTTTCTCTGAAATCATCTCCCAAGCTCAAAAAAAGCTCTCAAGCTGAGGCCAAAATGGAGGGGTTATCCCACGCTATCCTGAGAGTCCACCTCTACATCATGACTAACTCCATGCAAAGATAGGGAGCAAATATATTAGCAGGGTTAGCGTGTTTTCAGTTTTGGAGTCCCCAAATAAAGTGGCAGCCCTGTCAATGTATTTGCTCCCTATCTTTGCATCGAGAGTTTGTCTTGATGTAGAGGTGAACTCTCAGGGTAGGGTGAGATATCCCCTCCATTTTGGCCTCAACTTGAGAGCTTTTTTTGAGCTTAAGAGTTGATTTCAGAGAAAACCAGTGGCACCATCGTGTTTCTCACGAACTTTTACATAAGAATCAACAGTCAAATCGCAAATTCCTCACACATGCGACATCTCCATTTTCACAAAATATTCTTCATGAAGAAAAGGAAAATCACTGAAATTTTCAAGAAATGACGTTCAGAAGTTTTCCATGTAGAGAATAAAGTATGACAGGAAGTCTGCAGCGCCGCAAACCGAGATACGTCTATCTGCAGTTTCAGCATCGATATCCGGGTCTAGAGTACCTATATGTATACGGAGACTAAGATCATGTCGAAAGCAGCATGGTTACCTGCCCTAACACAAAAAATGTCCCTGCCAATACTCAGATTCCAATTTCAAACCAAGATGAGTAAGAATGTAAATAAATGAGCGTTCATCCGCATAAAGGAGTACATTGTACATTAATGAAAAACTAAGTCAAATGTGTGCTTTAAAAACGACGGGTCTTTACAATTGTAATGATAAGTCACTCTGGATAATTTTAATTCAAAGGTTGACTGCCCTTTTTGGCCCTAAAAGCTCTATGGCTTAACCTTAAAATTACCGACACGTCCAAACTGCAGGTTCTCTCCCTATATAGGTACTCTATCCGAGACTGAGAGGCAGAAAAACATTGATTTCATGTAAAGGCTAACGCCACGTGCGCGTACAAGTTACAACGCGAAGAAAAACTAGATTAGGGTGAACCCACGATAAATAATTCTGTGAATCTCCACAACTTCGATACAGAAATAATGGAGAGTAAAATTCGCAACATTCCCGGAAAAATTGGATCGGCAAGAAGCGAATTGATGTCATAAGATCAAATGCTTAAGTTACGACGATAACTCTGCCGTGTCGAGGAAAAACGTCGTATGAGTATCCGGATATTGCCAAATTTCCCTTCATAAAATATTTACTTTCGAAGAAAGTCAATGTTTTTCTTTGCAATTTTCAGATACTGTAGATTAAATTTGAAATTAAATTATCTGAAAAATTGAAAGAAAAATATCCACGAGTTTACTTGAAAATTCTCATTTCATCAGAAGAAATTTGGCAACGCTGGAAGGCTTATACGGCGTTTTTCCTTAGTACGGCAAAATTCATCGCCGAAGAATAAGTGAGGCACCGAGGATCAAAGGCTGCAACCTCCATTCCGCTGTCGAAAAACTTGGCAGATGTTTAAATTTTGAAAGGAGTAATGACTAAGACTTCATGCGTAAAATACTGTCATTATTTTCTCGCTAACATGCAGAAAATTCTTGAGAGGGTACGCAAATAGAAACTCGCCGGCTCTATTTAAAATAATTTAAAAGAATTGCCAAAATTTTTGACAACGGAATGAAGATTGCCGGTATTGATCCTGGATGTCTTAAGTCGAAAGAATACCCGAAATTTCATCAATTGGACTATTTTTTGTAATTTGGAACTATAATTTCTGACTCAGTTTAGAAACGACGTATGTAACATTAGTTTCCCTGTGTACATAATTGATTTTACGGACGAGTCAGTGATGATAGTTCCTGATTGAAAAAAGTATTTATTGTTGCGGAACCGCGCGTATTTTTCCGTAATTTTGAAATTATTTTTGAATTGATTAACTTCAAAATTTAATTGTATACTCTTGAGACATGTGTCTAGTTCTTGGTAGTCATTTCCCCCCCCCCCCCCNNNAAAACCCCGAATGAGTCTCATTATTAATCATACTTCGACATGGATGAAGATTGGGAAAATGAAACTATTTACCCCGAATTCGTCTTAAAATAAAAGCAGATCCTTTCAAAGACTAACGTCAAATGGGGCTGTCTCGTTGCTACTATAAACTTTTGTGCATGGGTTCGAGATAATTTTGACACAGGCAGAATTTAAAAAGAAAAAAAAATGTAGAGATAAAAAAAATTGTAGATATAGGAGGGTGAAGAATATTTACTATATAACTTACTCAGTTAATCCTTTTATCACTTCCTCAACGACGTCGCATAACTGGTCGAGCAGCAACCCAACTGTCATCGACTGTAGCGAGGTGAGGTGTTGTGAGTGTTGGCCATCTGCAACAGACAAAACGATCATGTAATCAAAAGATGAGAAACGGCATCCCGAGAACAAATCCGACTCCTCGATCTGAAATTGAGATCGGGTCGATTTGTATCCGCTGTCTTGCGGGAAATGTTGAGCCACGTGCGGTGGCGGGCACCGAAAAGGAGACCCAGGGAAATAACCATAATTCCAAGTTAAAACGTGACTGCTTTTTACATTATCCTTGCGCTAGTTTCAAAAACTAGCCACCGCGTCTAGCGCGCTTCCACGTGCCTTAAAAAAGGCGGCGGCGGAGGAATGAATAAATATGACGCGAGATGAGATACGACCTGTGGAATAAAGAAAAGGTCAAATCGGGACAAATATAAATTATTGACACACTGAAAAGAACTGTAGTGTTCAAACTGGACGTTCAACTCGATGATAAATAAGAAAAAAATGTATCGAATAGTGGGTCTGGTGCACACGATGGATATATTTACATTAATTGACTACTCTGGGGAATATCGCATAAAAAGGGACACGATGTGCATGCTACGAGTAAAATATCATAAAAATTTTGCAATACTGTATACAGGGTGTACCAAAAGTCCGTCCCACCCCTGCTAACTTTTGAACGAATTGAGCTAGGGTAATGAAACTTTGAGAATGTTCCTATCTCAATGGGGACCATCTTTTGGGGGGGTCAAAATTTTGGTCCCCCCTCAGGGGGGCGCGGGGGGCCCCCCAACTTTTTTTTTTCAAATGGCAACCCCTATCTTGTGATACATCATTCGAAAGAACATAAGAAACTAAGAATTTTGGCGCAAACCGCAGATCAATATCTTAATTTTTGACCGAGTTATGATAGGTCAAAGGTCAAATTTGACCCATTTTCAAAAAATCATAACTCCGGTTCAAATTATCGTAAAGAAAAAAATAAAACGGGAAAATCTACCAAATTGTGTCCACTTTTAAGTAAAAATTGCAGAAATCACTTCGCTGTAATTTTAAGGGGGGGCTCGGACCCCCAAATACGTCAATTCAAAGGTCATTCAATTTTCCCGCGAAAAAAGGCAATTTCCCCTAGATTTGCCTCCACATTATCTCAGTAAGGTCAAAATTAGTTCAACATTACGTTGGCAAGTCCCCAAATTTCGGGAAAAGTTTTAAAAAAAACGAAATTTAAGGTGACTAAATTAGACCGTTTAAATTTCGTTTTTTTTTAAACTTTTCCCGAAATTTGGGGACTTGCCAACGTAATGTTGAACTAATTTTGACCTTACTGAGATAATGTGGAGGCAAATCTAGGGGAAATTGCCTTTTTTCGCGGGAAAATTGAATGACCTTTGAATTGACGTATTTGGGGGTCCGAGCCCCCCCCCCCTTAAAATTACAGCGAAGTGATTTCTGCAATTTTTACTTAAAAGCGGACACAATTTGGTAGATTTTCCCGTTTTATTTTTTTCTTTACGATAATTTGAACCGGAGTTATGATTTTTTGAAAATGGGTCAAATTTGACCTTTGACCTATCATAACTCGGTCAAAAATTAAGATATTGATCTGCGGTTTGCGCCAAAATTCTTAGTTTCTTATGTTCTTTCGAATGATGTATCACAAGATAGGGGTTGCCATTTGAAAAAAAAGGTTGGGGGGCCCCCCGCGCCCCCCCTGAGGGGGGACCAAAATTTTGACCCCCCCAAAAGATGGTCCCCATTGAGATAGGAACATTCCCAAAGTTTCATTACCCTAGCTCAATTCGTTCAAAAGTTAGCAGGGGTGGGACGGACTTTTGGTACACCCTGTAGAGCTTAGTGATGTTTTAGGTGAGGTTTTCTAATATCTTTCTACGAGCAAACCTGGTTGCCCAAGATGAAGAAAAAGTGCTTGGAGACGCGGGACACACTGGAAAAAAAAAATTCGCTTGGATCTAGAGTCCAGTCTCTTAATAACATTGGCAAGAAAAAATACTCTTGATTCAATCCGATTTTTCCTTGAATCGAAATGCTGAGCCTCTTGATTTAGGCGGATTTCCTTTTGATTCAAGCAAAAAGTCCGATTGGATCAAAAGTATTTTTTCTTGTCAATGTTTTTAAGAGTCTGGACTCTGGATCCAAGCAACTTTTTTTTCCAGTGTACTTAAAAATAAACGCGTGATACGCAGGCTGATTTTTGAAATTGATAGACAAAGCTATGGACAAAGAAAATAAAGGGTAAATTGAGCGATCCTATTGGTGGAAACGGATGATTACAATGGAAAAAAGAGGTAAGTAATGTAATGACTAACGGCAACCCATGAGGGAACCTATGGTTAGTCCATCATTTTGCCTTTGATCTATTCAAACCACCCTTTTCAACAAATAGGATCACTCCATTTTCTCCTTGTCTTTTACGTCTATCGCTTTGTCGATCAATTTCAAAAATCGGGCCGGCTGCGTAAATGGTGCGTTCAAGAATGGATTTCAGACTTTTTTGAGTTTCTCAAGTTATTCCTGGAATTATTTTGACTTTAAGGTGCTATTTATATCCTCTGTTTGCATCTTGTGTGCAGCAGACTCACTTAGAGCACCAAGAAGTTTCCTAGACTATTCAAGCACTAAATCAAAATAAGCACCCCTCCGTAAGTAAATAAAAAGAGGAAAAAACCTGACATCATCTTTACACAGGAATTTAACAGCGAAAAAAACACGAGACAGACGACGAACAAATTATGTACATCGAAGGACAAGGAAAGTACGCAAAAAGTTTCGGAGGGTGACTTGGCACGTGCCCTTGAGTGAGAGTTATGTCGAGCGGGCTCTTTGCCAGCAAAGAGGAGACTGTTATTATTCACCTCTGGGTAAAAGAACTTTCTCCCTAAAAGTAAAAATAAAATCTTCCTCCGTTTTGAAACTTCTCCATCGTGGTGAAAATTGCAAAATTATTTATTTCACCGGTATTGCAAAATTAGAAGTTGGGCTTGACCGTATTTTCTACCAATCATCTTAGCAGTGTTCCTCGTAAGAGAAAAGAGTGGTGTGAAACAGACGATACAGTTTTCATCAAACATTGTGAATGAATAAAGATATGTCCGTCATCTCAACCCTCTTTTCTTCAACTAAACGCTGCCTAGATATAAATTTTGAAAATGCAAACGTTCAAAATCCTCTGATAATCCAGCCTTTTCTTCACAATAATCTGCGCAGATTTCACATTGCCTTTAACTATTTTCCACATTATATTTTGTCATCAGAAAACTAAAATAACATCACGCCCTTCAAGTGAACCTCCCTCGATCATCAAAAATGCACACATAAAAGTTCAAGCTAGAATTTACTTAGTTCTCTGTTGAAAAAATCAAACACGAGAAGATATGAGGCAACTTTCCATCGGGTTAGGCTAATTTTGGTTTAAATCCGTCTATGTATAAATACGAATACAAATAACTTTTTACCCTGCACTGGGAAAAAAAACCACATTGGATCTAGAGTCCAGGCTCTTGAAAACATTGACAAGAAAAAATACTCTTGATTCAATCAGATTTAAGCTTAAATCAAAAAGAAATCCGCTCACATTAAGAGGCTTGGTTCTTGATTTAAGCAAAAATCCGATTGAATCAAGAGTATTTTTTCTTGTCGATGTTTTTAAGAGTCTGGACTCTAGATCCAATGTGTTTTTTTCCAGTGTACAGTATTGATATACCTATACGGCTAAGAACGTATACGGCCTCCGCTCGCGTAAAACGAAGTTGGGGCCGATTTCCTCAATCTTCCTCCGTTTGTTTCCGAGTGCAGCAGCGGCTATTTTAGGGTCTGTTAAAACGCAGCCACTGCTGCGCATCTTCCGGCCTTGATTTTTCAGAAATGCAACGCAAAGCGCATTTCATTCCGCGTGTGAACTAAACGCTTCTCTCAACTCCGAGCTGGATTTTTGTTTGTGTTCCAGGACGTTTTAATTATCAGTTCGATGCCGTCGACATGTTGCACTACTGTGTGGATACCGAATTACCATCTGCACCCGTTACTTCCGTGTGTAGTGTATACCCACTGAGAAGTCTGTGCTCCTCGATTAACTTCGAATTCAGAGTTAAGAGTACGCGTATGCCATCGTTACGATGGCATCATACACAGTCAAACGGTTTGTATGCCCTTGGAAATATATAAAGTAACCCTCGATTCGTACGTCTTCAGCTCAAAAAACAACAAGTTGGATCGAGCAACATGTAACTGAATGCATGCAAACAAAAACAGTAAGATTACGTTGCAACGCCCTGGTAAAAATGGCAAGTGTTAGGTCAGTGAATTTTCCACTGAGGTCAGTGCAATTTGCTCTGAGGTCAGTTCAGTTTTCTCTGAAGTAAGTGTTAAAGCACTTACCCAAGAAGTCAGCACTGAGGTAAGAGGCACTGACGTCGGGAGAAAGACTTACCTAAGTGCAGAGATGTCTCTGAGGTAAGCGGGACTGAGGTCAGGACTTGGTTCAGAGGGTAAGTCTCTGACATCAATCTTAATCGAACCGCACTCACTCCCAAAAAGTAGAGATGGCTCCCCCTTCCCCCACCCTATTTCATTTTCGTGGGGGAATATTTCCTCGGGACACGGGGACCACAAACTTTATCTTTCAGAGAGGCATATTTTGTAGAAGGTGGGATTTTCTAAGAGGGAAGGAAAACTAGTTTAAGTAGCCACACTCTTGAATAATTTGTTTTACCCTCTTCGTTTAAGATGGCACTTAAATAATTAAAACACAACAAAAAATGAGATCGATAAAAATATTATCACCGCTAAAATATGTATTTAGATATATTTATTTAAGCATTATTATTTTTTTATAAAAAAAAATAGTTTTAAATTTGGTTTTAATTTTTTTCAGTTTTAACTGTTTTAAAATGTTTCAGTCTCAATTTTTTTTAAAATTTTCCTACTTTATTTTCAATTCTTTTCTAACTTTTTTACTCCTTTACTTTCAATTTTTGTATCTGCTAATTTATATTTTTTGTATAATTTCAACTTTCATTATTTTTTTTGCATCATTAGCTTTAATTTTGAATTT